CCCCACAGGGAGCTCCACCGTCGGCGCTAGCAGGTGCGTTCGCATGCGCCCACCGCAATCATTTTGGCACATCCCTCACGCGTTCCGTGGCTCCATAAAAGTGCTCCACCGACGGCCCTTGTGGTGCGTTTGCATGCGCCCACCGCGCGCATTTTGGCACACCCCTCGCACGCTTCGTGGCCACATAAGGAGTTCAACCGACGGCCCCAGGTGCAGCGTTCGCATGCGCCCACCGCACCCATTTTGGCACACTACTCACACGTTTTCGTGGCTTCATATGGAATTCCTCCGAATGTGGTGCATACAACGACGGTGCCGACAATTGCATATGGTTGGGCCTTCGCCAGGCCAATTCGTCATATTTACGACCACGACGTATAATGTTTTTAGATATGCCAGCAATTCGATTCAACGAATTTGTTTTGTGCATGTTTTTGTAGATTCAACAAACAAATTTGGGGTACATCAATTCTGTAGTCGATCTCGCGCTCGACCTTTATCGTTGCCCCTCACCTCCGCCTCGGCACGGTGCGCGAGAGCAGCCCTTGCGCGGGGCGGGGCGATGGCCGGCGTGCCCGGGGCTGGCCGAGGCGGGCGCGGGGCCCTTCGGCCGGCGGCGGCGGCCGTGTGCGCGCTGGCGCTGTGGCTCCACGCCCAGCGGCGCTGCGGAGGATGGGGCGTCCGCGGGCTGGGCGCCCGGAGCTCCAGGCCTCCATCTAGCCATTACTCCTCCATCACATCTGTTGTCTCTCTCCTCTTCCTCCTGTTCTTTCTTTCTCCTCCTCCTTCTCCTCTTTTTTCTCCTCCTCTTCCTCCTCCAGACGCTGGCGCTGGTGGCATGGGTATCCTGCAAGATGATGATGCCGTGACCTCTTCTCGCTTCTCCTTCTGTTCCCCCCATCCTGCTCCGCCTCCTCCTCTGCCTCCTCCTGTGCCTCCTCCTCCTCCTCCTTTTTCACAGGAGAACAGGCGTGTAGCAACCCGTTCGTGACCCTTGTTTGCCCGTTAGGGGCCATGGGGAGAGAAAGTTGCACCCTCGTCGCCATACCTCCCCTTGTGGTGGCCTGGCGCGTACACCGCGTACGCCTGGGTTGGAGGCGTGTCTTTTGCGGCGGGCTCATGGTGGTTCCCACGCCCATTATTCCCACGGCCAGGGTGCCCCGCCCTGGCGTGCGTGGGGGTGTGGAATCGCCCGACGGAGTGGTGCCTCTCGGGTGGCTTGGGGCGGCGCGGCCAGGGAGGCGTGTCGTTATCTGAGTCTGGGCTCGTTCGAAAAATGGACTGCGGCATGTAGTTCGGTCTCGTCAGTTCTCCTGCCAGTGGCGCGCCTGGGAACCGTGCAGCAACCGAGTCCACGCGCGGCCGTTGTGTGTGTGTGTGTGTGTGTGTGTGTGTGTGTGTTTTTTTGTCGGTGCGAAGTTTCTCGCTGTGGCCAATAGGCTCTGGCTCGTGCGTTCGCGGCTTTGCGAGTCCGCGAGTGCGCGGTGAAACGTTACGTTTTGCTCTGCCAAAGTTGAATCCCTAGCGTGCACCGCGCTCCAGGGCAAGGCTCATGCCAACGTTCCTCTTCCCATTCGTCCTCCTCCTGTTCCTTCGTCTCCTCTTCTTCTTCCTCCTCCTCCTTTTCTCCTCTTCCTCCTCTTCGTTCTCGTCCTCCTCCTCCTCCTCCTCCTCGTCCTCCTCCTCCTCCTCGTCCTCCTCCTCCCCCCCCTTCTCCTGCTCCTCCTCCGCCTCATCCGCCTCCTCCTTTCGGGGGGCGTCGAACATCTGCGTCGCCGTTCCTGGCCTGGCCCAGGGTTGGCGTATGAGCTTCCCCGACCAAGCCAAGAAGGGGGATGCATCGGTCCTAGGCCAGGACCAGTCTGTGCGCACAGTTCTCGTTTTTGTTTTCTCCACGTTTTTCTCAATCTTTTCGTCGATACTCCCTCCGCACGAGTAGTTCGTTGTCGCGCCACCAGTCGTGTTTGTGTGGCGGGGCGGGCGTGTCGCCAGAGTTCACCCCCGCCGTTTATGTTGCCGACGCTTGAGCTCCCCAGCAGCTGCGCGGATGGACGGAGGGCGGTCCGTGTCAGGTGCTGCTTTCGACTTAGCGTCGTGCGCGCTTGTCTACAATTTTCTCGCGGTTACACGAATGGAGGGCGGGTAGTTTTCAGGACGTGGCTCTCGCTTTAGAAGTGCGTACTTTCTTTTTGGTCTTGCATACATTTATATATATAATATATATATATATATACTATATATATATATATCCGTAAGGGCTTCGCCCCCTGCCGCCGCCCCCTCTCTCGGAGAATGGGCCATGGAAGAGCTAAGTCATGAGGCTTTGGCGCTGTCGTGCAGCAGTATCGGAACTTCATGCGAGGCCGATTCGCAATCGGCAAAACCAACTGATCACAAGAGGGGTTACCACACAGGGCGATTGGTAAGACGTGTATGGTTTACGAGCTTGGTTACCACACCTTGGGATTAAAGGGCCGAGGGAGTACTCGCAGTTTGGGTTACCACGCCTTGCGATGGATGTGCGTGAGGGGTGGCACCGAATTTCAGAAATGTGGCAAATCCCTGTGTTTTTGGACCCTGACCCCGCGGATCTGCGTGAGGGGTGGCACCGAATTTCAGAAATGTTGCAAATCCCCTGTGTTTTTGGACCCTGACCCCGCGGATCTGCGTGAGGGGTGGCACCGAATTTCAGAAATGTGGCAAATCCCATGTGTTTTTGGACCCTGACCCCGCGGATCTGCGTGAGGGGTGGCACCGAATTTCAGAAATGTGGCAAATCCCTTGTGTTTTTGGACCCTGACCCCGCGGATCTGCGTGAGGGGTGGCACCGAATTTCAGAAATGTGGCAAATCCCTTGTGTTTTTGGACCCTGACCCCGCGGATCTGTCTGAGGGGTGGCACCGAATTTCAGAAATGTGGCAAATCCCTTGTGTTTTTGGACCCTGACCCTGCGGATCTGCGTGAGGGGTGGCACCGAATTTCAGAAATGTGGCAAATCCCTTGTGTTTTTGGACCCTGACCCCGCGGATCTGCGTGAGGGGTGGCACCGAATTTCAGAAATGTGGCAAATCCCTTGTGTTTTTGGACCCTGACCCCGCGGATCTGCGTGAGGGGTGGCACCGAATTTCAGAAATGTGGCAAATCCCGTGTGTTTTTGGACCCTGACCCCGCGGATCTGCGTGAGGGGTGTCGATTTGGAGCCCCCCCAGCAATTCAGACAGCGCGCCCAGGGGGTGCTAAAAATCCTGTTTGGGCCTCCCCCCCCCTCGCGCGGTCAATCAGCTAGTTACAGTAACCAGCAAGAAGCATAACTGTAACACTGGAAACTACAACCTACGACTGGTACAGGAAACTGCGAACCTCGCGCCTACAGCCTGGTGGCCCCACAAGGGGGCCGGCGGATATATATATATATATATATATATATGTATATATATATATAAGCATATTTTGTGGTTGTGTGTATAAGCGCTTGGACTGACAACGATATTTGCACGGACCGACGTTTTTTTGTTTGAAAACGGGACTATCCCTGGTGGCTTCTTCAGATTTCGCGTCAAGGGCCTGCACATGTTTCTACGGCGCTGGGCTCGTGTTCCGAGAATGTGGCGTGTGCCCGCCCCGTTAGCGCCCCATTGTGGATTCACGGGTGCATCGTCATCGTTTGTGTTTGTGTTCCCGTAGATTCGGCCAGTACCCGCCCCGTGGCCCCCCCCCTCACCGCCGCGTTGGCGCCCCTTCGCCGCCTGTTTGGTGCCTCGTCGGGGCCACGTGCTTCACATATGATTCGCACTGCGTTGTTTTGTGTCACATCTGTTGTGCAGATTCATTGTTGTGGGGTCCGCGCTGGAATCATATGACCAGAAGCGTAGGAAAATGGCACAGGCACGCTGACGCAGGGCGCCCCTTTTTAAAGAGTGGGGCCCGCGCTGACCCATGGGGCGCTCCCTTTCAAGAGGGCGCTTCCCGTAGTCAAGAGGATTGAGTGGAAAGACTGGTGAGGTCGTATTGCGGCACCGTGAGTGCCTCTTTCGCAAGCCTCACGGGACCTCCAGGGACGGGCCGCCCAGATGGGAGGTGGGGTCGGAAGATCGCGCCGCGTTGTCGACGCATTAGCGATCCCCAACCCGATGCTCTCCACCCCCCGATTTCGCCCATGCATCGCCGATGCATTGGTGATTCGAGTACGGGATCGATTACAGAATTCGTTTACCAACAAAAATTGGCTTGACCGTCGAATCTGCAAAACTGAGTAGGCTGTTCCGTAGATCTACGCAGCCTTCCACGATGTTTCGTAGATTCGACCGACAAAGCAAGTCTGGGGTTCATTAATTCTGTAGTTGATCCCCTACTCCAGTGATGGATCATGCGACCCCAGCTGCTCTGGCCACATCCGTGCCGCCTCCAGGAGCGCTCCGGCCGACCAGGCTGGAGCTCCGTGGCCCGCGCACGCGCCGCGCCCGCACGGCCTGGCGGCGGCGTCTGTGCCGTCCTACTACCTGCTGGACCCGAGCTTCCTCCTGCTGGTGTGCGCGCTGATCCCTCTGGCCTGCTGCGGCTGCTGCTGCCTGTGCTGCGTGTGCAACTTCGTCCTGGCCAGGAGGTGGGCGCTGCGGGCCGTGAGGAGGAAGAGGACCCGGCTCCCCTGCCCTTGGAGCACCCGCTGCGCCAGGTGCGCCGACGAGAAGCACAGGAGGAGGTTCAGCCACCCTTGCGACGCTGACTACGGCTTCGCGGTCCGAGTCCACAATTCGAAGAAGAAAAAACGGTGTACACAAATCTTCGCAGTTCCGCGGGGATTCTTGGAACGACGCTGGAGCCCCCTGGTGGCGCCTCTGGCGCCGTCCATGGCGCGCTCCGTGCGCAGGATGCACCGCCAGGGGTCCGGCGCGGAGCCGAGAAATCCACGCGGAGCTCCGAAAGTGTATGCGTCAGCTGATTTTCCTTCCTCCAACAATGGGGTCCCTGAGTTCTCCACGCTTCGGCAGTGTTTCACCTTCATGGACCCCGAGCAGAGGGGCTTCGTGAACGAGATCGGCGCCCTCCACGAGCTGCTGCGCGCGAGAGACGAGGCCTCCACAGGAGGAGAGTCGTCCTTCGTGCGCAGGGCGCTCGGCGGTGTGCAGCACTGGTCGCTGCGGGACTGGCTGCAGCTCTTGTGGTTCTTCTCGCTAAAGGGCAAGCTGGTGCATGACATCTGGACCGACATAGACACCGACGGGAACGGCTACATCTCATTTCCGGAGTTTGTGGAGTGGGCGACAGGCCCTCGCGGCCAAGCGTTCGGCTTCCCCCTGCGCGTAGGCGTTGTCGGCCAAAAGGGCAGGAGCGGTGAGTACGACATACCGTGCACTGTGAAGGGATGCCGATGTAGTCATTTTGTCTTCCAGGGGGACAGCGAGTTTTGCACTTGTAAGCATCATTTCGGGTACCACTCCGCCTCCCCGAAGGACCAGATACTGGCGGTGATCCCGAAGACGTGGGAGGCCTACAACTCGGCGCGTTCGGTGGAGGAGCATCAGCTGTTGCTGGCCGTGGGTCAGCAAGGCCAGTCTCACCGCGTGGAGTGCGGGGAGGATGTCGTCCAGAGGATCCAATGCCTCATGGACGACTCCTCGCGCCAGAAGTGGACGCGCGACCGCGGCTGGACGGGCGAGGGTCGCAGGAAGGAGGTGCCGCAGGGCTACGAGGTTGTGCGAGTGGACCGCAACGAAAATGTCCGCGCCTGGTTGAAGTACATCTTGAAGAAGGCTCTGATGGTTGAAGCCCACGACGACGTCGAGCCATTCGAGCCGCGCGTGATGAGGACCTCCAGACTTGCAGGGACGCTTGGTGGTTCGGACCCCCCAGATGAGGCAGTAAACGAGTGGTACCTGTGGCACGGCGCCTCGGCCAAGGGCGCCCTGAGCATCGCGGACAGCGAGTTCAAGCAGTCGCTGGCGGGCACCGTGACCAGCAAGCTGCCGCTGTACGGCAGGGGGACTTACATGAGCGACAGCTGCACCAAGGCGGACGAGTACGCGCAGGCGGAGGACGGCGGCGTCTACTGCCTGATGCTCTGCCGAGTGATGGGGGGCCAGGTCAGGTACACTGACGAGGTCGAGCCTGACGCGGCTGCCCTGGAGCGCGACGTGCTCGAGGGGCCGTACGACTGCGTGCTCGGGGACCGCGAGAAGTGCAGGGGCACCTTCAAGGAGATAGTCATCTACGAGTCTTCCCAGGCCTATCCCGAGTATCTGGTCTATTACAAGCGCAGGTACGACCAGCTCAGCACAGCCTGAGCGTACCTCACCACATCGAGGCGCTTGTCTCGGCCAGTTGTCAATTCGGGCTGTTCGAGTTGGCCTCGCTGCTGGCGCACTCTCATAGGCAGGCGCAACTTCTTGCCAAGGCGGTCGATACCCGGTCAGGATCCCTCAGAGATCCTTTACAGCTGTGCGGTAGCCGTCGCTGGGAGGGACGAATGGCAACACTCGAAGAAGAAACAGCTGCATCAATGTAAGCTTTCGGCGATCTGCGCTGATTTCTTGGACCTACGCTGGACCCTCCCATGGCGGCGCATCTGGCGCCGCCTCTGGCGCGCTCCGCGCGCCTGGGAGGGGGGTCCAGCGCAGATCCAAGAAATCCGCGCGGACTTCCAAAAGTTGCTGCTTACGCCGTGTTTTGTTCTTCTCAACAACTGCGGCTGTCGCGGGCTTCTCTAACGAGCCGCGCGGCTCGCCGGCCCTGGCGCCCGGCCTGCCCCCCGCAGAGGACACGCTGGTGCTCTGGCTTGGCGGCGCGCAACAGGAGGTAGGGGGAGGGGGGAAGGCTTCTTAGAAGCACTCTGCTTCTTAGAAGGCCCCAGCCTTACGTCTATAGAGAAGGCCCGCGCCTTCTAAGAAGCAGGGGGGTGCTTCTAAGAAGCCTTCCCCCCTCCCCCTACCCCCCTCTGCGCGCCGCCAACTGGCGGCCGACGCACAGTAGTGGCCGCGGAGGCGAGAGGGTCCGGCCAAGGGGGCGGCCAGGCGGCGCGGAGAGGAGCTGCGCGCGTTGCCGGGGGAGGAACGAGGTCGACGCCCCTCCCTGGCGAGGAGGAGGAGGAGGAGGAGGAGGAGGAGGAGGAGGAGGAGGAGGAGGGGGAGGAGGACACGCTGGTTCTCTGGCGGCCGACGCACAGTAGTGGCCGCGGGGGCGAGGGGGTCCGGCCAGGGGGCGGCCAGGCGGCGCGGAGAGGAGCTGCGCTCGCTGCCGGGGGAGGAGCGAGGTCGACGCCCCTCCCGGGCTCAAGAGACGGGTCTCGGAGGAGGAACAGGTCATTGTGGCAGGGCCAGCGGAACGACGACGACGGCGACGACGAAGACGACGACGACGACCTCTTCTGTCTTCGTCAACCGTACATCCTACATACGACTTGCTGAGACACATCGTTCGTTATCACCCCAGGACCAGAACTTTAGTATCCCCCAGGTGTTTTTCTCAGGGGCATGAGGCTACCGAAACCGCTACCCTTCCCTCGTTGTCCCCTTTTTGGGCCTCCTGGGAGGCCCTCGGCGCCACCGCTGGGTCCGCCTCGAAGCCCTGGTGAGAACGCACCCCAGGAGGTCCGTGGAGTAGTGGTGTCGGTACTTTTTGGTTCCCCCATGGTCAATGCGAAGGGGGTCAGCCAGAGCGCCGGATCTTGCGGGATCCTGCAGAGCCAAGGCTGCATTGGCCAGGGTCAGGATTTTGCGAGGCCTGACTGACCCAGGTTCGAATTCTTCACGCTTCGCGTATCCCCACCAGCCCATCTCAAAACAGCAACTCTTGCGAAGCATGCCGACAGTCGTGGTGTTTCAGGCGTGTTTCCGCCTGCCCCCGCATATCTCCCCTGTTCCTCCTTCCTCCCGCCTCCTTGTACATCCTCCTTGTGGCGGGAGCGGGAGAAGGACGAGGCGGAGGAGGAGGGAGAGAAAGCGCTCCTCGTGGTTTGAGTCGTTCGGGTTTCTCGTCCTGGTGTGAGTCGTTCGGGCCCTTCTTCCTGGTGTGAGTCGTTCGGGCTCTTCGTGGTGTGAGTCGTTCGGGCTCTTCGTCCTGGTGTGAGTCGTTCGGGCTTCTCGTGGTGTGAGTTGTTCGGGCCCCTCGTCCTGGTGTGAGTCGTTCGGGCCCCTCCTCCTGGTGGGACTCGTTCGGGCTCCTCGTGGTGTGAGTCGTTCGGGGCCCTCGTCGTGGTGTGAGTTGTTCGGGCTCCTCGTGAGCAGTAGTACTAGTAGCAGTGGTAGTGGTAGTACTAGTAGTAGTAGCAGTAGTAGTAGTAGTAGTAGTAGTAGTAGTAGTAGTAGTAGTAGTAGTAGTAGTAGTACTTAGTAGTAGTAGTAGTAGTAGTAGTAGTAGTAGTAGTGTAGTAGTAGTAGTAGTAGTAGTAGTAGTAGTAGTAGTAGTAGTAGTAGTAGTAGTAGTAGTAGTAGTAGTAGTAGTAGTAGTAGTAGTGTAGTAGTAGTAGTAGTAGATGTGATGTAGTAGTAGTCGTAGTCGTAGTAGTCGTAGTAAGTTGTAGTAGTAGTAGTAGTAGTAGCAGTAGCAGTAGTAGTGTAGTAGTAGTCGTAGTAGTAGTAGTAGTGTAGTAGTAGTAGTAGTAGTAGTAGTAGTAGTAGTAGGAGTAGGGTAGTAGGGAGGGTAGGGAGTAGGAGTCGTAGTAGTAGTAGTAGTAGTAGTAGTAGTAGTAGTAGTAGTAGTAGTCGTAGTAGTAGTAGTAGTAGTAGTAGTAGTAGTAGTAGTAGTAGTAGTAGTAGTAGTAGTAGTAGTAGTAGTAGTAGTAGTAGTTAGTAGTAGTAGTAGTAGTAGTAGTAGTAGTAGTAGTAGTAGTAGTAGTAGTAGTAGTAGTAGTAGTAGTAGTAGTAGTAGTAGTAGTAGTAGTAGTAGATGTCTTTTGGGAGCCTCTTGGAGGCCTTTTGGGGCGTCTTGGGGGCCTCTTGGCGACCCCAGGGGCTTCTAGGAGCGTCTTGGGTGCCTTGGGGGAGCCTCTTCGGGCCTCTTGGGAGCCTCTTGGAGGCCGTTCGGGGCGTCTTGGGAGCCTCTTGGCGGCCCCAGGGGCTTCCAGGAGCGTCTTGGGTGCCTCGGGGGAGGCTCTTGGGGCCTCTTGGGGGCCTCTTGGGGGCATCTTGGGGGCCTCTTGGAGGCCTCTTGGGGCCTCTTGGGGCTCTTTGGGAGGGGTCTGGGAGGAATCTTGGGGCCATCTGTCGGGCGATCGATCACAGATGGGGAGAGCATTTTTCTCCCCCTCCCCGTCGGGGCCAGAATCCTCGTGAGGGGTGTCGAATTTTAGCCCTCCCAGGAGTCGAAAAAGACCCCTCAAACCACCCGCGAAACGCCCTCTCCAGGCCCAGGGGGAGGGGGTAGGGGGAGGGGTAAACCCCTCCCCGAAGGGGAAGAAGGGGGGTTGAGAACAGAGAGAGCTCGCTAAACCACTCACGCCCAAAGGGCTGGTGGGATTGACCCGTGTCAGTGGGTCCCCGAGCCCCCCCCCGCCCCCTTTCGGAGGCGACGACGACGAGGGAACTTCGCATCACGTGGAGAAGTCTCTCTGCGTTCAGAGAAAAGTCACATCTTCAGATCACGTACGGCGCCAGGGCGCCATCCCTAAGCACTGCCTGAAGTGGCCGGCGCGGGGCCGGGGCCTCTCGGGGCGTCCCGGGGCGCTCTGGGGGCGGCCGCGGCGCCCGAGACCCATCGTCCGGAGCCGCCGGATCTCAGAGAACTCCGAGGTGCCTTTCAGGCACTTGGCATCGCTCGGACGTGTGCACGTGCTGTTTTTTCCCAACTATCCAGTGGTGTTGGGTCCTCGTTTTGAAGAGACGGTCCCCGCGTTCCTCTCGTCTCCTCTCCTCTGCTCCTCTCTCCTCTCGTCCTCCCCCTCCTCCCTCCTCCCGTCGCCCCTCTCACTTGGCACACCCCTCACACGTTTCGTGGTACCATAGGGAAACCCACCGAAGGCCCAAGTTTCAGCGTTCGCATGCGGCCACCGCACCCAGTTTGGCACACCCATCGCACGTTTCGTGACCCCGTAGGGAGCCCCACCGAAGGCCCAATTGCCAGCGTTCGCATGCTGCCACCGCACCCATTTTGGCACATCCCTCACGTTTCGGGCCCCCACAGGGAGGAACCCCACCGAAGGCCCAACTGC